ACACCAATTGCTGATAAGCAAGCCTCTTCTCATATAGAAATATGATCTTCAATTACCAGCCCTCCCCAAAGCCAAACATTTAACTCACCCAAACCCATAAAATTCACATTCATAGCTATACACTCTCGTAGAGTTCCTTCATGCCTATGAAGTCCCCAATAATAAGACTCCACTTAATTGTCACATAGATAAGAAATGGCCAGACCTTTATGGTTCCCACTATTTTATTAGATGGCTGTAGTATCCTTGTCTACAGCTCTATAAAAACACGATTGCACAAAGGAAGTAACTGGTCTCCCTTCAAGTCACTGGTTTCTGTCTTCCTCAGTGACCTCGGAACACAGGGGGTAATGCTGATGCTGAGGTATGCCAGGGGTCCACCCTAATGTGTACAGGTAACTGTGTTAGAGTTTGAGTGCGCACCAGTGAAAACATGCAAAGAGAAACAAGGAAACAGACTTCATTGCAATTCTTCACATTCCCGTCTCTTATTAGAGAGTAAGCGAGTGTGCTCTTGGAGGATAATTACTTTTTTTTAGCTTAAACATAATACTGAAATTGGTACAGCTCGTTCTCTAGTAGACTCTCAAGAAGACTGAGAAACATATGAAAATAGAGTTCTGTGTCAGAAAAGAATCCTGGAACACAGGGCCAGACATATAATTAGAACCAGCAATCCGAATACTTATATTGTACAAATATTGCTTTGTTAAAGAGAGTTTGCAAACATTCAGCACATGAAAGAGATTCACCTGCCCTAAAGCACGGTAGCATGTCATAATTCCACCTTCAGCAATACAGTATGAAAGAGGCTATTTTTAGCTTTTCCACGGTTGTTATGGTAACCACCTCCTGGCTCCAGCTGTACACAATGTTTATAATTCCAGGGAAGTGGAAAGAGCAAGTTTCCTCTATAATGTAATTATGCACTTTCTACTTCTGTGGTAATAATACCTTAGTTTGATTACAGAGACTTGTTTAGTGATAGTTGGCCGTAGGCTATAGTTCTAGAGGGTTTGGAAAATCTTCTATATCAGAGGTAGAATCACTGAAAGAAAAGTAAAGAAACAAACAAACCCACCACAAGAAAGGAGCTTTATGAAGAACTCTGCTATTCTTGATACCAGGCCAGAGGAAAGCAACCACAGGGTGATGGTGATATGCCATGTGGGGGTGGTAACAAGGTTAAAGGGAAGTTATGATGAAATAACTAACAAACTCCCAATTCCCTCAACTCATCCGAGGATCTAGTGAAGAATTCCAAGGCCCTGGGAATGATGGAGCACTGAGATGGAAGGAGCCTGAGATGCTGGGGGTGCTGCATGCAGCAGCGTCCCCAGCACTGAATGACTGTGAGAAGAGGGAGGAAGAAAGTGCCATAGTATTAAATCACTGAGATTCGGGGGTTGTCCTTACAGCAGTTGGCCTAGCATGACTAATACATCTAGGAAAGTCTAGAACTCCAGTGGAAATGGATGTTGTTTTTCCTAATTCTTAGAACTGATTCATTACTAGTTCTTGTTGTTGTTGTTGTTGTTGTTGTTGTTAAGTGCTCTCAAGTAGGTTCCAACTCACAGCGACCCTGTAGAGGGTTTCTGAGGAGCAACTGGTGTGTTCTTAGCAAGTGTCAAACATGAGTTCTTAACAAATCACCCTACGGCAGCCATTTCAGTTTACAGTCTGTGAGGCTTTTCCAACACATCATTTCTGTGGGTACAGTGAATTTCTCACACAATGATTTGGTAAGACTGCAAATGAGGTTTTGTGGCTCACCAAGAGGATTGGACAGCTTGCTGCTAATGCAAATAAGGTGTTTAAAACCTGTGATGGTTAGGGTTCTGTGTCAACTTGGCTGAGCCAAGATTTTCAGTGGTTTAGCAGTTCTATAGTGAGGTAACTGTCTTCCATTTTGTAGTCTGATATCATTATCATCTACTTGGTGATATGTTTAAATCTTTATGACTGCGGTTAAGGTCTTATCTGGGAGTACGTTCATGAGGCAGGATGAGGGTAGAGCCTGAGTCACCACCCTTAACATCTTATGCAAGTCCCATTGTTGCACCGCCTTGCTCCAATAAGAGGAGTTTCCTCGCGGGTCTGGTCGCATGCAATATATATGAACGTTCTTTTGCTCTGGATCATCATCAGTTATTGAAACCCGAGCCAGCAACCTACAATCTAACCTGATTTTCCAGCATTCTTGTGAGCCAGCAACCTGTCATCTTACCAAACAATTTGGTTTCATCAGTCCCTGCAACCAAGTGAGTCAGAAGAAGCTAACAACCCAAAGGTTAGTGGTTTGAGTCTAGACAGAAGGCCCAAGGGAGAAAGCCCTGATGACCTGCCTCTGAAAAACTGTTGTTGTTAAGTGCTGTAGAGTTGGCTCCAATTCAGAGCCACCCTGGATAGAGTTTCTGAACCACTGACCTGGTAATTAGCAGTCCAATGCTGATCCTACAGCACCATACCAGGACTCTGAAAAGCCAGCCACCAAAAATCCAACAAAGCCAAGCTCTACTCTGACATACAGGAGATTGCCAGGAGTCACAAATGACTGCCTCTGGTTCCATTGTCAAATGAGGGGGTCAGTTGTTGTTTTTTTTTTCTATGATGCTTTGAAATTTCTGACTCTTTGATTCTTTCATTTTAAAGAGATTTCCGTGACTCAATTCTGTGACTCTCTGAATCCAATACTTGATACTCTGCAAAATAATTTCACAACCATTATCTCTTCTGATACAGCTTTTATAAACACACAAAAAGCTTCCTTTTACAAATACCTCTGTGGTTTGTAAGTCTTTCTTAGTGGAAGGACTTACTACCTGAATTAATACCATTATCACTTGCAGATGTCAAAACTAGGAGTAAGGCAATTTCCTGAATTTCAACTTTCCTGAGTTCTACTGTCTGCCCCACCTTTTGGTCATTTTTCAGGTTTCAGTTCTGATCTGTTCTCTGCCACTTCGATTTCTGGCTATCAGGGGCACATACCCACTGTCAACAAGCAACCAGCAGGTTGAAGATTTTAAAGGGACTTTTTACTAAAATAAAGCAACAAAGACATAAAAAACAAAGCAAAGAAACCAGTGTGTGTAAGATGGAATTACAATGCTAGAGAGTAAGATCCCCTAAGAACTTGATTGAACCTCAGCATAGTGATCCTGCTTGGTCACCTTAGAGCAAGTGGTGGGCTGGCAACGTCTTGCATATGGGGTCCCCAGCCGATCTCCTCCCTCCCTGCTTTCCTCGGATGGCGGCTATTTATGCTGGACATGTGGCCAGAGACGGGTAAGGATCATGTGGAACCTCGGCAACCTAAGACAGAGCCATTGCCATGCTGCAATGAGTTTCAATGAT